TACATAAATTAAACATTTATTTAGTTTTTTTTTCATAAAACTAGCTCAATTTTATTTATTACTTCAATAGCTTTCTTAATTTCAATTTTATTAATCTCAGTTTTCAGTATTTGTAATTTGATGTTTAATTGAGGATTTTTAATTTGTTCTTTTTCTAGTTTTTTTTAGTTGCATGCACAATTCATTGATCTCTTCTTTATCTATTTTATTTATTTAAGTATTTAGAGATATAAAACTTCTCATAAGAACTGCTTTCATTGCATCCCATAAGTTTTGGTATGTTTTCTCACTATTGTCTTTCTCTTGAATGAAGTTATTGACCCATACATTTTTTGGTATTAGATTATTTAGTTTCCAATTATTTTTAGTCTGTCTTTCCATGGCCCTTTATTGCATATAATTTTTTTTGCATCATGATCTGAAAAGGATGTGTTTAATATGTCTGCCTTTCTGCATTGGATCGTGAGGTTTTTATCCCTTAGTACATGGTCATGTGTATGTTCCATGTATCACCAAGAAAAAAGGTATATTGCTTTCTATCTACATTCAGTTTTCTCTAGTGGTCTACCATACCTAACTTTTCTAATATTCTATTCACCTCCTTAACTTCTTTGTTGTTTATTTTGTGGTTAGATTTATCTAGTTCAGAGAGGTGGAGGTTGAGGTCCCCCACTAGTATAGTTTTGCTGTCTATTTCCATTTGGTGCATATACGTTTAGTAATGATATTACTTCATTGTCTATGGTACCTTTTAGCAGGATGTAGTTTCCTTCCTTATCTCTTTTGATAAGATCTATTTTTGTTTTTGTTTTGTCTGAGATCAGGATTGCTAACCCTGTTTTTTTGTTTTGGTTTTTTACTTTAGCTGAAGCATAATATATGCTACTCCAGCCTTTTACCTTTACCCTGTGTGTGTCACTCTGTTTCAAATGTGTTTCCTGTAAACAACATATTGTAGGATTCTAGTTTTTAATCCATTCTGCTATCCACTTGCATTTTATGGGAGGGTTCATCCCATTCACATTCACAGTTATGATTGCTATCTGTGTCTTTTTCTCCATCCTATTTCCCCCTTGTTTATGCATCTCTTTCCTTTCTCCCTTTCCCTCCTCACTAATGTTTTGTTTTTGACCACCACCTCTCTTAGTCTGCCCTCCCTTCTATTAGCCCCCTGGCTTTTCTTCCCCTTTACCCTTACCATGTATTCCCTCTCTTCTACCCCTCCTCCTTTTTCTTTCCCCTTTTCCCTCCTACTGCTTACAGAGCATGTTAGATTTCTATACCTAACTGATTATGTTATTCCTTCCTTGAGCCAGATCTGATGAGAGTAAGGTTCAAACAATGCTCCTCTCCCTCACTTCTTTCCTTCTACTATAATAGGTTTTTGTGCCTTTTCCTGTAATGTAATTTACCCTTGTGTGCTTCCTCCTTTCCTTTTCTCCCAGTACCTTCCCTTAGTTATATTGTATTAATCCACTTACTTAGATCCATTTAACCCATTTGATTAGATTTTTTTATCAACTTATGCCCACCTTCTCTATCTATATACCCCTTTAAAATGGTGTAATAACAATACAGTTCTCAAGAGTTACAACTGTCATCTTCCTTTGTAGGGATGTAAACAGTTTGCCCTTATTAATAATATATCGTATCTTTCTGTCCTGTTTACCTTTTTATGTCTCTCTTGACTTTTGTATTCGAAGATCAAATTTTCTGTTGAGCTCTGGTCTTTTTATCAGGAAGGTTTGGAAGTCCCCTATTTCATTGAATATCCACCTCCTCCCCTGAAATATCATATTCATTTTCACTGGGTAGTTGATTTCTTGGTTTTCATCTAAGCTCCTTTTCCTTATGGAATATCATATTCCATACCATATGATCTTTTAATGTAGAAGCTGCAAGGTCTTATATAATCTCAACTGTGGTTCCGTGATATTTAAATAGTTTCTTTCTGGCTGCTTGCAATATTTTCTCCTTGACCTGGTAATTTTGGAATTTGGCTACTATATTCCTTGCCATTTTCAATTTGGGATCTCTTTCAGGAGGAGATTGGTGGATTCTTTCTATGGCTATTTTACCGTCTGGTTCTAGGACCTCAAACAATATTCTTTGATGATTTCTTGAAGGATGTTGTCCTTTTTTCATCATGGTTTTCAGTTAGACCAATAATTTTTAAAATATCTCACCTGGATCTATTGTCTTGGTCAGTTGTTTACCACTGAGGTATTTTATGTTTTAATGTATTTTTTTCATTCTTTTGTTTCTGTTTCAATGATTCTTCCCCTCTCATAGAGTCATTAGCATCCACTTGACCCATTCGAATTTTTAAGGAGTTGTTTTCTTCTGTTAGATTTTGTGCCTCCTTTTCCATTTGGCCAGTTCTGCTTTTTAAGGACATGTTTTCTACAATTAATCTTTGTCATTTTCCCAAGCTATTTACTCTCTCTTGCATACCTCTCATTTCTTTCCCCAATATTTCTTCTACTTCTCTCATTTGACTTTTAAAATCCTTCTTGAGCTCTTCCGAGAAGGCTTTTTGGGCTTCAGACCAGTTCATATTCTACTTTAAGGTTATGGATGTGTGTATATTGACAATGTTGTCCTCTTCAGAATTTCTGTCTTGATTTTCCTTTTCCCCAAAATAAGAGTCTATGGTCATTTTATATTTCTGCTCTTTGTCCTTGGTGTTTACCTATTTCCCGACTTTAAAATAAAAAGAAAATGTTGAGTTCTTCTGCTGGAGCAAAGGAAGCACTTACCCAGCTTCTTTTCCTGCTCATATAGGCCTTGTACTTGAATGTTCGGCTCCTGCTGGTGGATTTCTGTCGTCCTGGAGCTTTGCCTTCTGGTGTTGTGCTTCCAGGAGGCATGGGATGATTTTGCTGCTGGAGAATGGCCATCGCCATTGGTGGTTTTTGAGCTGGTGTCTATCAGTTCCCCTTCCTCTATTGAGGCTCTTGGTGGTTCTGGTGTCGGCATTTGTCTGCTCCACCAACCTGGGTCTCAGGATCTTCCCCTTGTATGCTGAGGTAGGGCTTGCTGCTGGCTTCCTGGGATGCCTACAGTCCTGTACTGTGCCTCCTCCCCCAGAGTGAGAGGCACCTTTCTCATTAATTCCCCAAGCTTCCTGGGGTGGAAGACTGCTGTGCCATGTGTTTTTGCTGGCTTGGAGTTTTTCCTAGGTCAATATTTTCTGAGCTTTCAGAGGTCACTGAGGGAGGGAGAGAGTAACTTACTTTTCACTCAGCCCTCTTGGCTCCCGGAAGTGGAAATCCAATCCGTAAATTCATTGTTATAGGTACTTTTTAGCAAAATATTGTTTCCTTAGTTACCTTATTTGTTTTTGTCAGGTATATTTTTTGCTTTTGATTTGTATATAATATATGACTGCTACTTCTGCTTTTTTTTTTAACTTCAGCTGAAACATAATACATGTTGTTCCAACCCCTTATTTGAACTCTTAACTTCATGCCCCCTTCTCTTAGCTCTCATATTTCATTGGTGGACAGGATAAATTTCTATACACAACTTTATATATATTTATTTTTCCCTCCTTGAACTAGTTCAGATGATAAAAGGTTCATGTTTTGCCTGCTCCTCTCCATTTCCCCTTCCAGTTTAAAAACTATTCCTTTTGTACCTCATTTATATGAGATAAATTTTCCCTATTCTTCCTTTCTTTTGTTCATTTTGTTAGTACATCCTTTTTTCACCTTTCTATTCTTATTTTAAGATCAACACAACATAACAAACACACAGCCACCTTCTCTCTCTAATCAGACTCCTTCCAACTGACTTAATGATAATAAAATTCTTAGGCGTTACATGTATCATCTTCCCACATAAGAATATAAAGAGTTTAACCTTATTAATTCTTTTATAATTTCTCCCTCAAGTTTACTCTTTCAAGCTTCTGTTGAATCTTGTGTTTAATTGTCAAATTTTCTATTCAGTTCTGATCTTTCTTTATCAAGAATGTTTAAAGCTAGCTTCTCTGTTTCACTAAATGTCCATTATTTTTTTTGCTGGATAGCATACTCATAGTTTTCATTCTAGCTCCTTAACCTTCTAAAATACATTCCGAAGCTTCTCAGCTCCTTTATTATGGTAACTGCTAAATATTATATGATCCTGTCTATTACTATTAGAATTCTTTCTTTCTGGATACTTGGAGCACTTTCTTGACCTTGAAGCACTGGAATTTGTCTACAAACTTCCTGGTAGTTTTCTTCTTGGAATTCTTTTCAGTAGGTGACTGGTGGACTCTTTCAATTTCTGTTTTGCTTTCTTTTTAAGATATATGGGCAGTTTCCTTTATAATGTCTTAAAATGTGACATCTAGGCTCTTTTATTATCATGTGTTTCAGATGGTATAATAACTCTTAAATGATCTCTATATCTATTCTACAGTTGTTTTTCTTATATTTCATATTTTCTTCTAGTTTTTAAGTCTTTTGACTTTCTTTTATTATTTCTTCATGTTTCATAGAGTGATTAGCTTTTACCTGACCAATTCTAATATTAAGAAATTATTTTTTTCAGTAAAGTGTTATGCAATTTGGCCAATTTTTTAAGAGTTATTTTCTTCAATATTTTTGTGTCTCTTTTACCAAGATATTAATTCTCTTTTCATAATTTTTTTCCATAGTTCTCATGTATTTTTCTAATGTTTCTTCTACCACTCATTTAATTTTTAAAATCACTTTTTTTGCTTTTTTTTTAATCTCCCTTTAGCTCTTCTAGGAATTTCAGTATTCATTTTTGTTTGATACTGTTTGCAGATGTTTTCAAGTCGTTGTCTTCTTCTGAGTTTGTGTTTTGAGTTTCCCTGTCACCATAGTAGCATTTTATGGTCAGTTTCTTTTTGTTGTTGTTATTTCCTCATTTTCCCAGCCTATTTCTTGATCTTAGACTTTATGTTACAATTCAGCTTTTCTTGTGCCTACAGGGTATCACTAGCCTGAGCATCTGTCTTTAATGGCCTCCTTCTGTTTTCACAGCTAAATGGGGACTATGACTTTTCAGTCTTTCCAAAATGGTGTGTTCTAAGGAGAGTTCTGGACACTGCCCTTATACTCTGTATTCTGCTTTTTACTCAGGTAGGTACCCTGCTGCCTTCTGACCATTTCTCCCTGTCCCAGAACAGTGACCTACGATTGGTTATTAAGCAATGGAACTGCCAAATGTCATCTGATCCTGCTCCCTCTGCTATTACAGGGGTCTTCTGGGATCTCTTTTTGATCAGGCATTTAGCCACTGCTGCTGCTGCAGCCACAACCCATAGCCCATTCCACTTCCACAGTACCATGCTCTTAGCTGTCATCCACCCTTGTGTCTACAGATCTTTCTTGCTTCCTAAGCTTCCCTGGGATAGAAAAATGACTTCCTATGACTTTTTTATTGGCTTTCCTAATCAAAATTCAGTTTGACATTTTATTTTAGTTGTTCTGAATGGGATGTGGTTGGAGAGGTAAGCAAAAATACTGGCTTCACTTTGCCATCATCGTTCTACCTCTCTTTCCAGCTTCTCAATTCCTTTCCTAAAATGTAGAACTAAAAATTGAACAAAGTTTTCCAGATACGGTTGGACCAGGCACATTATAGTAGTACTATCACCTCCAACATCATAAACACAAATGTAAATCAATTAACCCAATGAAGTTATTCTCATGTGCCACTGTTCTATCAGATACTTAGAAATACAAAAATAAAACTATCCTTGACCTTAAATATATTTCATTATATTAAGGAAAACTGCAAGTACATGTGTAAATATGTACATAGTATAGAGTATTTTTTTTAATTGCATCATGGGACGTTAGAAGTGGAGGGTATAGAAAAACCTCCTGCTGGAAATAGCACTTGATCTTAACACCTCTGATCTAGACCACAGAATACAGGAAAGGGAATAATGTTAAATTATTAGTTAAATGCACATGTTTCTCTCCCAGTTGGATTATAAACTCTTTGAAACTAGTATCTGACTTTTTGTAACCTTGAGTCCTCTTCCATACTGTCTGGCACAGAATATTGCATATTAGAAATCAATTCATATTTTTGATGATTGATCTATATATATGAAATGAAATGAGGAATAATCTTAATTCTTTTGATAATTCAAGACAACAAATTTATGCTTTTGCTTCGTTTATTTGGATATATTCATATAAATTGGCTTATTTGAATTTAATGAGGTTTATAATTTCCCAGAGTGTGTGTGCACAGACAGAGCCAAAAGCAGGGCTTCAATCAAAGTAGTGTCTGAGCACTATACTTTATTTCTTACCTGTAATCGCAAATATACAATAGTGTCACATGCAGACATATCTGCTGAAGATATAAAATATTTTCTTAGGCATGCAGCAAGATGATATTAAGTTTCTGTACCTCTGGGGAGTCCAAGTAAGGCTCTTCAGTTCAGCAAGCAGCAGCTTTGTGATGAGCTCCAGGAGAATTTACATTAGCTGTCAACACCAGTATTGCTTGTGACCTCCTTTCAGACTGATAGTCATTAGAGAAGGATACTATTACAGAATGTTCAACACTTGCCTGGTCCTGACATTTATGATTCCAAACCCACATGCCAATGAGATATAGGCAGCAAAGTGAATATGTAACAGTGCATCTGCAAAAGTCACATGTCTAATATTTCAATACGCTTTTTAAAAGATGGAAGATAAATTACTTTTTTATATGCAAAGGAAATAGATATAAACTCAGACTCTAGGGCTTTGAAAGTTCTCAAACTAAGCTTTGCATTTCTCTTCTTTTTTTGTGGCTAGAAGCTTTTTTATGATGATTATTTATTTTTCAGCTTCCTTTATGATACTTCCTGGTGCTGTTATATTTATTTAAGAAGTATCTGTAAAATCTATATTGCTGTCCCTCCATTTCAGCTAAAAATAAAAGCTGAAACAAAAGAGATAGATAATAAAATATCAGCCTTAGAATAGAGGAGGGAAGGGAGGGGAAGAAAATTGTGAACAAGCTAAAAATTTAGTGTATTTTTTAAAATCTGACTTTGTGAGAATATTAACACAAAATATCACATGATTAGCAGAGTGATTCCAAGAGCCTGTCAATATTGAAAATTTCCCCAAATAGAGTACCATAATCATAGAAAGACCTGTACACAAAAAGGAGAGGTAATGAGGTGGCCAAATTCTTATATCAGATTGATAATCAGACATCCAAGCTGTGACTGATCATGTATTAATAACTTATTTTGTAAGTTAATAATGTTTTTAAAATATATTAAATAACAGTAGAGATTATGTGACAAACAAGACATCAATGAGCATATGGCTAGTTGTGTGACTTAACTACATATCAGTAGAATTGGTTTTTGTAACTTATGAGTCACCATTTGACACACCCCCAAATCTGACATTAACATGTACAGCTGAATGACAGCCATCGCACTCCATCATCTACATCAGTCCCAATTCTACCTAAAGCTTAATTCTGAGCTCCCAAGAAGTGATATTTTGACTGCTGCCCAGTTCTACAATTCATAATCATTTCTAGTCTGCCCGGTGCTAAGGAAATGCCTTTTTTGAGAGGTCCCATTTGCTGTGCAGTTCAGCAGAAAGAATGTTGTTCTTAAAGTCAGAAGAGACCTATATTAGAATCCTGACTCCTACAATTATTCATCATTTTGCTAGTTATTCTTTTACCTGATCATAACCCTTTATCATTCCATCTTCCTCTTTGAAGAGGATATTATGACCTCCACATATCATGATCTGTGATCCTCCTTTTCATCCTTATCATGACCACCGGTCTCTCTCACCCCTTGGTTCTTTCCCAGGTCATTACACCTGTGTGAGTGGCCAACACTATCCTTCCTTATTTTGACCATTTAGTAAATCATTTAAATTTTAAACTATCCAATCTGGAGTTCTTTTTTATTTTATCTTATCATAGATCCTGTCTTGTCAAGGCCCACCTTGAATTACTCCCACCATCTGCCATATTTACTCTTATTGACATGTGGCTTAAAGGAGTAAAAGAAACTCCTGATGCTGTGCTGAGTATTCTAAAAATTCATATTACATAATCTCAACTGGGCTGTTACTGCAGCAAGTCGATCCTTTTACAACTTTCTAAATGATTGGCTCTTCCACTTGTGACTCCTGCTATTCTAAACGTTTTCATTCATTTTCAAGCTTTTAATAATACTCAGCCTTCACTGAAAAAAAAAAGCCATTTGACAAGAGGTTTATCTCTTTCTGTTCTCTTAATCTCAGACCACTCAGATATCTTCCCCCATTATCTTCTCTTTAACCCTTGACCCTCCTCCTTGTCAAAAGAAGTTATTCTATACACATTTTTTATGCAATCCCATTTAATCTTTTCTAGCAGATTCCCACCTTTGTGTCTCCTTTTCTATGGGCTCCTTTGTTGCTGGCCACAAAATGATCTGTCTGTCCCATCTTTAAAATACCCTCACTTTATCCACCTATCTAGGTTATTTATTGTTTTGTATTTTTCCACTCCTCAGATAAACACTTTGAGAAAACTGTCTATACTCATTGTTTCTACTTCCGCCCCTCTTAGTCAGTATTAACTCTATGAAATCCCCTTTCTAACCTCATCAACCATATTTGTTCTGTCCAAAGTCACTGAAGATCTCCTAGGTGCCAAATCTAATGTTTTGGCTTTTTTTTCCTTAATCTTCATTCTTCTTGACCTCTTTGCAACTTTGACATCATCAAAGTACTTTATTCTCCTGGTATTTCTCTTCTCCCTAGGTTTTCATGACACTGCTGTCTCCTAGGCTTCCCACCTATCTGATCACTCCTCAGTATTGTTTTGTTTTTTGTTTTTTGTTTTTTGGTTCTATATCTACATCAAACCAACTATCCATCACATCCTCTAAGACTGCCCTGGGCTCTGTTCTCTTAACTTTCTTCACTAACTTGCTTGGTGATGTCATCTGCTCCCATGGGTTCAATTAGCATATCTGCAAATAATTCTCATACCCGTTTATGAAGCCCTAATTCCTTCTGTAAGTTCTAATCTTGTATCTCCTAAGTCCTGTAAATCTCTCATATTCATCATGTTCAAAACAGAAATCATTATTTTCCTTCAAATAAACTGCCTTTCCTCCAAACATTTCTATCACTATTGAGGTCATCACCATTTTCTCAGGCACCCAGAATCTCAACCTTGATATCATCTTCAACTCTGTCAAACTCATTTTGTATAAACAATCTGTTAACCATTTTTGTTGTTTCATTTTTTACGGCATCTCTTCCATACATTCAGTACTTTTCACTCATACAGTGACCACTCTCATGCAGGTTATCACCTTACATCTTAATTATTGCTACAGTATTTGAGTAGTGTTCTTTGCCTCAAGCTTTTCCCATACTCCATTCCATTCTCCAATCAGATGCCACAGTGATTTTATGTCAACCATTCCAGGGCTCTTTTATTACAACCCACTGTAAAATTGATCTCATTTATGACAGATCTAGATCTCATTTGCAGTCCATGACTCTTTCTGCTATTCCATGCTGGCCAGGAATGATGTGTTCTGTACAAGCAGTAGGAGATTAAATTAAGTCATGCTATGATGAAGATCAGATATGAACAATTGACCTAAGGATTGAGCAGGAGTGAAGCTAGATTTTGAGGTTTTTGTTTGTTTGTTTTTTGAGGCCTTTTTATTTCCATTTAGCTTATGAGTGGCTGAAAAGCATTCTAGAGTTGCAACACAATTCTTTACTATTTTCACTTTTCTTTATTGCCTATCTTCAACCTTACCCTTTTTCCTTTTTCTGTTTTCTTCCTTTCTAATTCTATTGTCTTTTCTTCCTTTCCTTTTTCATCTCCTTCCTACCCTCCAAGAGGCAATCACTAGGCCCACTTGGCATGTTATTCTGAGCTTTAGCTGGAATTTGTATGGGAGCTTTGATTGGGGTTCGGAAATCCAAAACAGTATCCCACTGTTTTAGTCAGACTCTTTGACCTTGGTAAATGTGACTTTTATTCTGAGAAGGGAAAAAAGACATCTTAGGCACTGTTAGGATCTGGCCTTGTGACGGCTATGAGACAAGAATCAGTGTTCCTCTGGTTCCTCACCTCTGGTGAG